ACTTATATTATCAAAATAAGTGCTGAAGAACCTCTTAGCATATACTTGTGTCGTCACCTTGTACAGCAACTCCTATGGATGCTACAGTCTGAGTATCACCAAAAAATGAGAATGTCGTGAAGATGATTGAGCATTCCAACTTATCTACACTTAAGATAAATATCCATATATTTTGGTGAATGACGATTAGGTTCAAATATTGTCCTGGCCCAGTCTGTTTCCCTTTTGCTCCTAGTACTCCAATTACTTGTTTAATAATCTTTATTAAAATAGTAGATATTTCTCTATTCCTTTTTAAATTTTCTGTCATCTTGCCTCTCAATGATTTAGTCTATATTTATTTTTTGAACCATCTTCCAGTTTACCAATTTTTACTTTATATGTGTCTAATTTGTTAACGCCAATGATTGAATTTTACTTTATTACATTTTTATATTTTATATTACATTGTATTATATTTTGTTAAATATATAATAATGAAGATATATATATATTTATTTTATATATATTACCTTGTTATTATATTTTTCAGTGCTAGGATTTCTAATTGATACAGTTTCCAGTCCTCTGCCTAAATTGTCCACCTTGCATTTTAATTACTTGAACATATTAATCACAATTTTAGAGTGGATTTGAAAATTCACTTATCTATATCTCTGGTGGAGATTTTATTTGCTCTTTTTCTTGTTTTTTTGATTAAATCTTTTTGTATGTTTGGGGCTTTTATTGAATGACACTAAATGTAAAAATAGTAAGCATAATTTGAGACTGTAGATGTTTTCACTCTGCAAAAATTATTTTAATTTTGTTTCTGGCATATATCTATCGGGGACAATAGCAACACCAGATCATCTTAATACAATAAAGGTCTGAGATAATTTGAAGCTGAAACTTAATCTTTCTCTTAGCTTTCACCCTTATTCCTATGCTTAGTCCTTTAAAGTCCCAACAGAAACCTATGCATGTGCCAGAACCCTTCCTGCTTGGTGGGTCCTGAACTCCAGTTTTGGTTCTCTCAGCTCTTTCTGTCTGCCAAATTCTCTGCCCACATTCTCAAACTTTCCAAAAAGACTTTCAGAGTTAGCAAATTCCTCAACAGGGAATGTAGTACTAATTGCCAAGCTCATCTCTTTGGTCTTCCTCTTGCCCCCCACACCCCAAATCCTAGCCCTCAAAATTTTGTCTGATAACTTTTCAATGCCTTTAGATATTTTAAAGCCTACTTTGCCCAACTTTTCTAGGAAGTATAAGAATTTTATATCACAGTTCTCCAAGAAACAGAGGACAAAATAGAATTAGCCATGCAAGAGATGTATTGGAAGCAATGCCTGTAAACATAAAGGTGAGAAAGTGAAAGAGTAGGCAGAGAGATTCTTGAGACGATGATGCATGTCTGAAACCTGGGAAAGAGGAGAGGGAAGGAAGAATGATTGGTTAGTACAAGTTTTATGCTACAATGTACTTCTGGAGAAGTCTCAACCCAGACAAGGGGGAGCTACAAAGTGAAGATTAACTATCAAAGAAGTCTCCTGTTAGCAGAAATGGCCCAGCTATAATACCCCTGCCAAGTTCAGTCATTAGCTTTGAGCTACTCAGAGTGAGCATGGCCTTGGGGAAAACACTAAACAGTAGAGGATCCAAAGATGTGGTAACTGGAAGATCTTTTCCAGCTACTGTGCTCATAGGAAGTTTCCTTGAAGGGATAGCTAGAGACCTATGGAACCACAGGCTTTATAGCATAAATGTACTGTGTAAATATGATGTATGATTTATCCCCCATCCCCTTTACTTTTTCTTACCTTGTTATTTAGTGATTGATTTGTATATTTATAAGACTGCCTCAAAATAGCATTGAAATAAAGAAGACTGTAATATTTTTAAACTTGTGGATTAACCCAAAAAGTAAATATCTAAAAATAAATATTGGAACACACTGGAAATAGAATGGATGTCATTTTATTTAACTGGATAGTCTATTAAATTCCTTAAGCTTTTGATTTTATTGGTTTCTATTTTTGTTTTATGTTTTCTTCATCAGCATATTACCTGTAGACTTTATTTACTGATTTTAGGGACTTAAGAGGCCTAAATGTGCTTTCCTGTTCCCACCTATTGTTAGATGCTTGAATTACACAATCAGATTAACAATATATTGTCTCATACTTCATGTTTTCTCCTGCATCTCCCTGGAGTGCCCCTCATTGCTTCTTATTGTGGTTATTTCTTATGTCTCTTTCAAGGATGAGTTCAAGCATCATCATCTTCAGGAAGTACCCCCATATAACTTTTCTATGTTTCTGTAATATCTTATGGATATGTTCATTATATCACTTATCCCACTTTGCTTTAATGATTGTTTGAGTTCCTTGAACAGAGACCTTGCTTGTGTTTTTCATAGTATTTCTTCTAAGTAGCACTTCATAAATAAGTGCTCAATAAATGTTTGTTCAATAAAAAAGCTTAAGTTTCATGAGAAAATATATATAACCACAGGTATGTTTAGCACCACTATTTAGTCATATTCACTGATAGTGATGAAAAGATAGGCATAAGTTTTGCTTGATGTAGGGGGCAGGATGCAGTTCTAGGTACTAGTGATGGGGCACTGCATATTGAAGAAGGTTTAAAAAATGACCACTCCCTTAAGAGGTCAGGAATTTTAGAACAGCCTGGCCAACATAGTGAAACCTCGTCTCTACTAAAAATGCAAAAAATTAGCTAGGAGTGATGATGGGCGCCTGTAATCCCAGCTACTAAGGAAGGTGAAGCAGAAGAATCACTTGAACCCAGGGGGCAGAAGTTGTAGTGAGCCGAGCACTCAGCCTGGGTGACAGAGCGAGATTTTGTCTCAAAAAAAAAAAAAAAAGAAAGAAAGAAAGAAAAAGAAAAACAAACAAACAAACAAAAAAACAAAAACAACTGGCCAACCCTAAAGATCATAGAATGTGCTTACCATGGGAAACCTGAGACTAAGTTACTTGCTGAAAAGTAACTCACATTTTTTCAGAAAGCTCTCTGGGATTTCAATTTTAGTTTGTTTTCAATATCCATTACCTAAGCCTAAGTGGATTGGTTTGGTAAACTAAGTGTTTTTAGCCATTAGTAAAAAGCGAATGGCATTCACATATCTGCTTAATGAACAAAAAACATGTGTTTTGTTAGTTTTCTATAGATGTGGTCAAGAATAGGGCGTTAGTTATACCCAGGAGCAAAAAATTCAATACCAAATGTGAAGTGTCACTTAAAGCTTTATCTTGTTGCCAGTTTTTCTTTTAGACCTCACTTGATTTCTGCAACAGAGCCTCTGAGACTATTCATTTGCGTGGTTGTCTTAGTTGCTCTCCTCCAGAACACTCACCAGCCTTTTGATTCCCAACTCCCTTATTTCTGTTGTTCTCACCTCCAGAACACTGCTCAGATTTAATGGGAACTAGGCTGGAGAAATACTATAGCTCTGCTTTATGCAATATCACATTTAAGCAGCAATTGGCATAATTATCATGTTTTAAAAATTAATAATAGGCCTGGTGCAGTAGCTCATGCCTATAATCCCAGCACTCTGGGAGGCTGAGGCAGGCGGATCACCTGAGGTCAGGAGTTCAAGACCAGTCTGGGCAACATGGAGAAATCTCATCTTTACTCAAAATACAAAAATTAGAAGGGCATGATGGCACTTGCCTGTAATCCCAGCTACTCGGGAGACTGAGGCATGAGAATCACTTGAACCCAGGAGGCAGAGGTTGCAGTGAGCTGAATCACACCACTGCCCTCCAGCCTGGGTGACAGAGTGAGATTCTGTCTCAATAATGATGATAATAATAATGATAATAATAATAATAAGAAGAAGAATCATGACATGTTAGAAATCTCACAAATAGGACTACTCTGAATGATACTTATAAACATACTTTTATTTTTTCCTTATACTGAGCTTAAGATACTTGACTATGGAAAAGCTATTATAAGAGCAAAAAACAAAATATTTTTCTCTAAGCTTTGTGGACATCACGTTTCTGCTTAAAGTTTTCCAATGGCTTTGCACTGCAAACAGAATAAATTTCAAACGTAAAATCTGCAAGGCCTTACATAATCTGGATGTAACCTGTCTTTATAATTTATTCTCTTAATGTTTTTTCCTGGTTCCCTATCCCAGTAGACATCCTTTCAATACTCAGTCATGTCTAGGCTCTTCCTTCCTTAGAAATTTTGCCTGTGATCATCCACATTTTCCCTGGTCTTCGTATATTTGGTTTTTTTGTTTGTTTGTTTGTTTCTTTTTTTCATTCAGTTCTCAGCTCAAATACCATCTTCTTAGAAATGTCTACTCTGACAATCTTAGATAAAGTAGGCCCCTCCTCACCCTGCCTCTATTTTATTAGTCTATTTTACTTACTCTAAAGTATTCTACATTACCTTAACCTGTTGATTCCAAGAGGGCATGAGCTTTTTTGGTCACTATAAAGGAGACAACTTGGCTACAAATAACAATAGTGTAATATTTGATTCTGCCACCTTCAGATTCAGTTCTTTGAAAGTCCAAAGATTAGCTTTGATTGTGAGAGAGGAGAACAGAAGAAAATGGTCAAGCAGACAGTTTGGGTGGGCCCTTGGTTGAATTATTTCAAACAAAAGAACAGCCTGAAAAATCAAGCTCTAAGCACAGATAAGAGAACTTACACAGCAGGGCTTGCCTAAGACATGCCTACTGCAGCACAGATAAGAAAGCCTACACAGGTGACTTGCCCAGGCATGCCTACAATGAAAAATTCCATCCTCTAACACATGTGCAGTAAGGGGAACAAAGCAGTATGGAGTAACTCAAGCTAAGGGCCCACATATGCACTAGGGTGATGGGGATGGAGCTACCAAAAATTTGTGCCTTATGCAAATTAGACATCCAGCCCTCATCAGTTTCTTACAAAAGTCTTTGCATTCCACTATAAAAACAGCAACCCGTTTGGTCCCCTTTTCTGTTGCAGAGAGCTTTCTTCTTTCACTTAGTGAACTTTCGCTCAAACCTCACCCTTCGTGTCTACATTCCTTAATTCTCTTTGTTGTGAGACAAAGAACTCCAGGTGACACATCACAATGAAAGACTGCTACATTGTGGTACATTGGTAACATTGTAACAATTGGACTGACTTCACATATGGGTAGTCACTGAGAAGAGGACAACTGGCTACAAATATCAACAGGCTTATAATGATCTTCTTACCTTCAAGTCCAGTTCTTTAAAAGTCCAAATTTGCTCTGAACTGACTTCAAGCAAGTGCCCACTCTTGAACCAATTACCGAGGCTGGAGGATAAAGACACAAATTGGCCAAACTTGGATTACCTGCCTTCTTCATCTTAAAGGTAGGACCAGCTCAGAGAGTAAAGACTGAGAATATGAATGAATGATTTTCCAGAGAAAATTAGGGTAATTTTTCTGAAGAAATTGGGGTTTGGGGGAATGGAAGCTGGGCAGTGAAAGCAGTGGTTGCTAACTAAAAGAAATAGTAATTGATATGTTCAGTTTAAAGGGCTGCAAGGCATTCCTTAGGGTGGATGTATACTAACGTAGCCTATCATTTCCTTGTGGATGAATATTTTAGGTTGTTTGCAAAATAGTATTATGATAAACATCATTGTTCATTTGTTTTGATTATATCAGAATTACTCCTAAAAGTAAAAATGCTAGGTTCTAGTGTGCATATTAAATGTTCAATTAAGGAAAGTTATATTAAACACCTTGTAGAAATTCATTTATCTTGCTAAACTAGTCTTGTCCCATAGAAACATAACGTGAGTCACATATGTAGTTGTAAATTTTCTAATAATCAACATTTAAAAAGTAAAAAGGGGCCAGGCATGGTGGCTCACGCCTGTAATTCCAGCACTTTGGGAGGCCAAAGCAGGCAGATCACAAGGTCAGGAGTTTGAGACCAGCCTGGCCAACATGGTGAAACCCTGTCTCTAATAAAAATACAAAAATTAGCTGAGCATGGTGGCACATGCCTATAATCCCAGCTACTCGGAAGGCTGAGGCAGGAGAATCGCTTGAACCAGGGAGTCAGAGGATGCAGTGAGCCAAGATCCTGCCACTGCACTCCAGCCTAGTGACAGAGCAAGACTCCTTTCCCCACCAAAAAATAAATAAATAAACAAATAAGAATAAATAAAAAGTAAAAAGGAACAAGTGAAGTTGATCATTTATGTATTTGTTTAACCCAAAAAATCAACAATAGTCTATTTTAACATGTAATTAATACTAACATTTATTTACGATATTGTTTACATTTTGTTCTTTTACTAAAGTCTGAAACCTGGGGTGCATTTTACACTTACAACACTCTCAATATGGATTAATGTTCAGCAGCCAAGTGGAATAAGTGACTATCTTATTGGAGAGCCCAGCTCTAGAACATTCTGGTTCTAATAAACACATAGGGGTTTTACATACCCAAGTGCTCTCAGAGACTAGTTTCTGGGTAACAATTTAAATCTAGCTTTAAATTGAACCTAGTACAAATCACTCATTAATCAATAGACTGTCCATCTCTAAGAAAAGTCTCACTCTAAGTGGTGGTTTGGAAATACATGGTGAAGAAAACTTGACAACATCTCAAACCAATAATGAAGACAAGAGTCATCACCAGGAGGAGGCTTAAGAAAAATGCTGGCCGGGTGCGATGGCTCAGGCCTGTAATCCCAGCACTTTGGGAGGCCGAGACGGGTGGATCACGAGGTCAGGAGATCGAGAGAGACTGTCCTGGCTAACACAGTAAAACCCTGTCTCTACTAAAAAACAAAACAAAACAAAACAAAACAAAAAAAAAAAACAAACTAGCCGGGCGAGGTGGCGGGCGCCTGTAGTCCCAGCTTCTTGGGAGGCTGAGGCAGGAGAATGGTGTAAATCCGGGAGGCGGAGCTTGCAGTGAGCAGAGATGCGACCACTGCACTCCAGCCTGGGTGACAGAGCGAGACTGTGTCTCAAAAAAAAAAAAAAGAAAAGAAAAGAAAAATGCTGAGTCTTAGAATAATGAAAAGTTTGCCTGGGGTATGGTGAGAAATGGTAAGACTCTGGGAAAACTTAGATAAAGCTACCCAAAGGAGAAGAATGTGAATGTGGTAAACTGCAGTTATGAAGCACCAGTGCAGTAAATTCCACTGTGATCTCAGAGAGTTCATCAGACTTTGGATGAAATATGGTTTTAGATTGTGCAAATCTTTTTACTGTGATTTCAGAAACATATCAAATATATATTGAATGCTTACTCAGAGCTGTGTTCTGTGTTCATTTGTTTCTCACAACACGCGAATTAGGAACTGTTCTTACACTAATTTTGCTGATAAACCAATTGAGATGCAAAGTAATTAATTTCATAGTTAGCAACTGGTGATGCTGAGATTTAAACTGCTGATTTCTAACTCTATAGTTCACTCCATTAGCTCTGTTCTATTTTATTCTTAGTATATTACATGTGTTTTTATAGTCAAGTCCTTTGACTAATATTTATCTTTTAGTTCACACTGACACTAGCAAATAGGTCACTTAAAATCTTAGACATAAGTATTCTAACCAGCAAAAGCTGTATTTCCCTTTGAAAATTACTGCTTAGAAATTCGACTTATATTTTGATGTCTTATGAAATGGCTAACAAGGTTAGTCCCAAGGCCCCAGTGAACTCTGGCTATGCCAAAAAATAAAAAATAAAAAATAAATAAATAATACAATTATTTAAAGTTGAAGACTGTAGGAGAGAAAGAAATAATATAGTTTTCTCCTCACCCATTGCAAGGTTCATGGCTGACACCTCTATAACAAAAGGCAGATTAATTAGAAAAATACATAACTTTATTTAGTAGTTTTATACAACATAGAAGCATTCAGAAATAAAGACCCAAAGATCCATGGAAAACCCTATTTTTATGGATAGTCGTGCAGAAGTGTGATTGTAAGACAAAGAGTAGTATCTAATTATAATAAGCTGGAGGGAACTTACCAAGGCCTGTTTTTTCAGATTCTTCTTGGTTTCTAGATGAAGAGTAAAGACCCTCTGGAACGAGGGCCTCTGACTTACTTTCAGCAGAGATAGTCAGAGACTTCTTTTATGACCTGCTTCAGGACATAAAGGCAGAAGGTCAGAGTGACAACCTTGCTGCTACTGTGGATTTCTTGATTTCCTTCTGCTTAAGATGCTCAACATGCCAAGATGCCATATTTGTAGTATTGTGATCTGAGGTCTGGCAAGACCAAACCCTGAGTCCTGGAGACTCCATTAGACCCTACCTGAATAGCCAGCCTCTCCCCCTGTCCTTGTGACCTTGCCATCTCATCTTTCAGACAATTCTATTGAGTTGTTAGAAAGAAATTGCCCTGGGATAAATAAGAAAGCATCTGTCATCTTAATGTGACAGTTAGTAAAGTAGCACAGGACCAGAACAATAATCATTTAATTGTTTTCGATTGCTTGGGAAATGCCACTGAGCCTCCAAGAAATGCCTGGGGAAGGGTGTAATAAAAATGTTGGTGTGGGAGTGTGCATTATCTCATTCCAATTCCCAAAGTTAGTTGGAGATCCAATAGTCTGACCCACTCCCACCAACCTCCAACCCAATAAGAAGAAGGAAAGAAAAGAACAGAAACAAAAAATTTACTAGACTGAGAATGTAAATGTTGTTATGTTTCTTTGCTATTAGTTACTTCAAGGCTTCAATTTTTGACTTTGAGAAAATCTGTCTGCTGGTGGCACCATGCTCGAGGCAATGGGAAAAATATGTGAACCAGTATCCTTCCTATAAGAAAGGAGAAAATTCTGTTACACACGGTATTTATAAACAGCCCCCAAAATAATTACTGAATTCAGAAACAGTTTATCATAGGCAAGCACAAGGCTGAGCAGAAGTAAAAAGATAGTCCAACAGACTTTTACAGCCTCTCAGGCGTAGTGCTCAGGGAAGGCAGATGCCATTCTTCCTCAACCTGTTTTGGAATCCTAACAGCATGGTAAAGAGGGATTTGGCAAAGGTTCCTGAGCATAGGAACTGTATTTCTCTTGTTTTTTGCTGTATCCTCAGGTTGTGGCACTGGCAAGGTATTATGTAAAGTTTTATAAGTATCGATTAAAAGCTGCTGAATAAATAAGAGACTTTTTTCTCTTACCTGTCTTATCGCCCAGAATTTCTTTCATTAGTGATTGTTTGGCTGTATATCTGGAATTAAATATAAGCTAGTGGACCTCTTGGTAGACTGCCCTAGAGGAAATTCAGAAGGGATCAAAGCAGATAATCTCAACGTCAGTTTTAATCTTGAGAGCCTACAGTTCTAAAACCTTTCAAAGACTCAATTTGATGGGCATGATTAAGCAAAATGTCTCGTCCCTCAGTATCAGGAACAACACACCTCTGATGGAATTGGTGGATTTTTTGATGAAGATATATATTTACAAGAAAAGACTGCTGGACTCCTCCAGATGCAGGTTGATACACAGGGTTTATCTGTCACAAATGTAAAATCAGAGCCTCTCCACAATTTTAGAAAATAATTTTCTTATTATATTAGGCTCAGAAATGACCTCATCAGTTTGGGAGAACTTTTCTCAAGGTCCTTGAGCTCCATGGGAACCATTTGAGTCTGGGAAGGTACCTGGGTGACCTGAACTTAACTGGCTCCTCTCTTGGCTCCTCTGAGACCCTCACTGAATCACCACATACATGGAAGTAATGACACTTACCGCCTTGCATTCATTAGTATAATAGCTTTAATGATTTGATTTGCTCCTATAAAAGGTGCTATATAAATGCAAATGATTGCCAAGGATGATAATTAACAGTCTTCAGCTGCAAACTACTTACACCTCAAGTCCATAGGTCACAGAAAGAGAAATGTAAAGGTATTATTTAAGAAGATTGTTACCTCTTTGTGCTAAATATGATGACAGGCATTTGTAAAAGCTGCGTGTTTCTCTAGTTACATAGCCTGGATATTTTTGCTGACTGAAGGAGATACTGGTATAATTCATCTTTCAGAAGTGTTAAATGCTTGGGTGGTAAGATATTGCATTCAAGATGGGGGAGGGGGTAAGAGAAAGGAGGGGGAACCAGGGAGTCTATTTCCAGATAGGAAAATGCAAAGTCCTGGAACTCTAGGTGTATTTAATAGAGAAAGATTTATCATGATTTGTACTCTGCCAGCAGTATACACAAACAGTTTTACAAGATAAAAAACAAAAGTGCAATAGCAGAATCTGAGCATTTCGAGTGAAATGTAATTTACTCCCTTATGTATTGTTTACTCTGTCATGGCCATGTGTTAGATACTTCTTATTGACAACATTGATTATCTCCACGAAACCAACAATTCGATTAAATAG